AATGATATATATATATATATATATATATATATATATATTAGTTAGGATATATTGACACTAAATATAAGTCTAAATACTTACACCAAATTTTATACATTTAATAAATTTTTTGTATATTATAAATTTATCTGATCAAACTATTGAATCATATGATTTGATATTATATTCAAGATCATATGTATATTAAATTACACAAGGTTTGAACTTTTCTAGATATGTCTTTTGAGAATAGATATTTACCCATATTTTAAATCTCGTATTATATGCTAATAAAATAATGTAATGAACTACTAAATAATTTTATAATCATGTGAAATTTGATATAAATGATTTTGAGTATAATTTACATAATTCAATGGTTGGATCAATTAAATTTGTATTGTACAAAAAATATTAAAGATATAAGATTTGGTTTAAATGTTTAGATTTACACCGGTGTCAATCAATCTTAACACTCTCTCTCACTATCTCTCTTTACATGTATATATATATATGTGTGTGTGGAATTATTCTAACAATAGATTTTAATAAAGTTACTTCACTCTATAACTCATGATTAATCTTGAATTTCAATAACTCAACTGTTAAATTAAAAGTTTTTAATGCATAGATTAAATTTATAAATTGTAAAAAAGAATTTAAAAATTATTTAATACTTTGTTTTATTGATCCAAGTTGAGAGAGAATCTTATAATCATTTTATAAGTTAATTTAAATTTATATAATAAAATATTATATAATTTTTTTTAAAATAAATTTGTAAATTTGATTTCTACGATAAATTTTTTAAATTTAACGATTAAATTATTAAAACTCAACATACACCCATTAATTATTAAATACAATAATTTTATAAAAAATTATTAATCGTAAAATCATAGCTGATCATTAAGAATCTGTTAATACTAATCTCAAAATAAAAAATAATCTCTTAATGAGTTAATGTTACGTTAACTTTACAAATATGAGTTAATAGTGTATAATCATGTACATCTAAGTGGCAGAAGCACTTCTATTCAAAGATCACTTTCATCGGCATGGTTGCGTGGCCCTTTACCGTTTGATTGGTTGATCTTTATATAATACAAAGTCCATACAATTTTATAGATTCATTGATAAATTGGTGGGATTATTGTCATCTGATTAGAGACAACTTTTACTAGATAAGAAATAAAATTCATATTCAACGATTAGGTCATATATATATATAGAGAGAGACGTAAAGGGAGCTAGCATTCAACGGAAAACTTTTGATTATTGGGATATATAAGAATAATAAATATAAAGTATTATACTGAATTAGTGTAAAATTAAAAATTACACTGTTAACTAATTAAATTTTTTTCCATAAAAAATATATACAAATTAACAAATTTATAATATATGCATATATATATATATAATATAAATGATAATATGTTGAAAATTAACATATATTTTATAAAACTTATAAATCAAATGAAAGAATGATAATAATTATAAGGAATCAAAATTAAATTTTTTTAATATAAAAATTTCATAAATATAAAGATGATTTATGAATTCACAAGTAATTCAATAATTTTGATCGTTTGTAATTTTTTTTTTTTTAGTTTTACTTATATAAATAACAATAACTTTCAAATAAAATGTCATTTGTTTTAAATTATTAATGTATTTTTTTTTATTTTTTAAAATATCATCCTGATTATGAATCTGAATTTTTCCATATATATGAAAAACATAATATGTATTTTTAAATTGAACACAAAATAAAAATGAAATTTTTTTAACATACATTAGAAATAATTTTTAAATGAAATAATAAATAATTATTAAACATAAAATATGTAAAACATATTACGTATCTATGACCTTCTAATATTAACATAAATAAAATAAAAGAATAATATTATATGCAATGAAAAAAAGAAAATAAAAAATACCAAAATACATTAGAATTGTTTTTCAAATAAAACATGAAAGTAAACTACTTGAGAATGAAAAGAAATATAATTATAAAAATTATATGATGATTGAAGATTATTTATATAGGTTAAAATTATGTGATAAAAATAACTTTGTGAAAATAAAATGTGTATAACCTAATATTTAAGGGTTATTTTTTAATATTTAATATTTTGAATGATAGTCATTAAAAAAATTTATTAATAAAACTTTTTTTCTATATGTATTTATTGAAATGTAAAGTGTCTTAAAAATCGTAATTACGTTTAATTCATTCAAGAATTTGAATTTCTATTAATAATAAATTATAAATTAAATAAATATGACTTTCCAATATGAATATATATTACATTCAATTATTGAAATGTATAATTATTTTTAAATTATAAATTGTAAAATTAATATATATTAAACTTTAAATAGTAAAAAATTTGTTTGAGTAATTATTGTAATTCTTCTACTATATATAAAAAGATACAAATAATTAAATATTTAAGAATCAAGTATATATAACAGCTTGTCCGCCTGATTTATCAAAAGCATTAGAATATATATGCTGCTGA